ACTATAGAAAAAGTTTATTCGCACACTAATCCTTTTATAAGACATTTTATCAGACGATCTATTAAAGGAGGAAGAGTTTCGGCAAATAGAAAAATATTTGAAATGAACAAAATGGATGAAATTTGTAATGTATTAAAGGAATTTATTTCACAATGGGATAATTCACAAAGTGAAACACGAAGTGATACTGAAAGTATTTCACGAAGTGAAACATGAATTGAAAATATAATTGATTTATTCAAAGAATACAGCGCTAGCACAAAAGACAAAACAGAAGTTAATTCAAAACTTAAAAAAATAAACTGTAATAAACTAATGGCAGTTGATGCTAACGGTTTATACGCTTCTGCAATGTCAGATTTAGACAGTGATTATCCAAAAGCAGAGAGTGCTCGACCGTTTCTACCAGAAGAAGAAAAAGAATATGTAAAACTCTTCAATAAACAAAAAATTAGACCTAGAACAGCTATTTTATCAGTGTGGTTTAAATGTCCTTATAACATGTTCTTCCAACCAATACCATTAAATCTATTCAGAAGGATAGAAACACGAGAAATCATTTGTGGAATGAAGTACCTTTTCAGGCCAAATTCGACTCACATGTTAAAAACTATGAAAAAATAAATGATACTCAATATTTCGTTGAGACAGATATTGATGAAAAAGAGATTACTGCTAGGTGGGTAGGTAGATGACAAGTTAACGTTCGCTTCCAGCAGATGCTGATATCGCAAACTAGGTAGTTATTGGTAGTCGTAGTAGTTGGTAGTTGGATTGGATCAAATTGGATGATTCTGTATTGTTGGTTTGGTTGTTGATTCTTCGGTAGATCTGGTCGGGTCGAATGACATGGTGGTGAAACTCGGCCCTGGGTGGTGTGGCGTGAGTTACTCGGTCTCCTTCATTCTTCAAAACTCGTTCTGATCATGGTATCATGAGATTACTGCTGAAGATCACTCAACTAAATCTTCAGGACTAACACCTAGTTATTTGGGATCATTCGTTTTATCTTACAGTAAAAAAATAATGAATAATTTCATTCATGTAATAAATGGATTTTATAAACCTGAAATATACTATACCGATACTGATAGTTTATACATTTCATCTAGAAATTGGGATAAATTAAATCGAGCTGGGTTGGTATCTGAAAATGAATATTGTAAAGGCAAGAATGATTACGGTGATGGTGGAATCATATTTGGTTTATATTTAGCGCCAAAAGTCAAATATAATATCATTCTAACTTCTGATGGTGTTTTAAAAGAAAATAAAACGTTTAAGGGTTATTCTAATGATAAGACAAGTGTAGAAGATTATATTCGGTTGGCTAGTGGAGATGATGTGTCGAATGAATTTAACAAAAGATGGGAAAGGAGTTTCACGAATGGTATAGTTATTCCAAAGGATGATAAACAAAAGAAAGTTTTTAGAAGTTAATTAATCTGAAAG